CATTGATTATAGAATAGTCTATTCTATAATCAATGGTATAGGTATGTAATTACATATTTTACGACGTTTTTATTGTACTTACTCAATTTAATTGTTTTATATTTTAATACTTAATTAACTAAATAWTTACTATAAATTTATATCGATGTTTTATATTTATCTACAGTCGTTGTGCTCCTACAAAAATAAAATAATATACAATAGTGCTACTTATAATATTAAATTATAATGTAACAACAAAAACACGGATATGAATTTCGCTATATACGCGATACGGGATTTAAGATGAAGAATTTATAGGTATTGTATTTTTAATTTCAATTTTTTTTTACGTAAATAAGTGTTTTAATGTAGAATATTTTCGCGAGCTACCTAGATKATAAATGTTGGCGGGCCAGAGTTTGTCCGCGGGCCGTAGTTTGGTCACCACTGTATTAGTACAACAAACAAATGATGTAGCCAGGTGGTATATAAATGTTTGAGAAGCGTGTTTACAAAAAATGTCTCAGAGCCATGTTTATGTAATATAGGAAAAAAAATGTTTATCTATGAATGTCAAATATTAGGGATGGTTTGTGTCTTGAACTCTTTAATTCATTTTTACCAAAACTCTTATTGTATAATATTCTAGGACGTTAACGATACGTGTGTGGTGATGATTTATTTAGAGCACCGAGCGCCTTGGCTCTATATTATTTTTCACAAAACCAATGAGATTTGTAAGTTTAATTAATATATATTATAAACATTAAATTATAATGGTTGCAAACTGTAAATAGAATTATAGTAAAAAATGATTGACGAGAAAAATACTCTTAAAACTAACACATCGTTCAATATTACTCTACCACTCAAATATTTTTAGTGATAAATATGTCAAGGTCACTGTTTTTTATAAGTGCCACTTTAACCAATAAAAATTGTCTACATAAAATATTCTCTTACGTTTACATGTTTCAAAGGTGAAGTATTATAACTATATTTTATAATCTAGGTACCGAATATAGAACCAATAGAAGATATACTTTACGGAAGTCACGGTCTATGATTTTATAATTTTTAAATTAAAATATCCCATCAAAAAGCTAGAGATCGTTTTTAAAAATTAAATAATTTATTCCCATTTAATACATACATTAAATAATACTAAACAGACTGCGTATAATTTATAAGCTACAATTTTTAATATTTCATTTTCAGGKCTGTTTAGTTTTATTTTTGAAAAAATTCAAGAATTTTTCTTTTGTCACTGAAAGATGTCGTTATGGGGATATTGATTTTATTTAGAATACTTATGCCTGTTAATAATATTAAGTATTTAAGTATAATTTTAGTTAATAAAATAAATTACRAATAGATACCTAATTTTAAATATTAAAATAAACAAAATTTAAGATATTGAAATATTTACATTTAAATAACATATTGGGTATAAACGTCTTTTCGAAAATCACGAATTCACGAATAAGTTAATACCAAACAGTATACTATAAAGGTTTAGACGCGGACCAACGAAATCTGCAGTTCTTCTATTTCACAATATATCCACGCGATAACCTATTAACCTGCCATAGGAGGGTTTTGATGCGGGGCCGAAGGAGGATGCAGAATTTGCGTATTCTTTCGCTGAACTGCAGAGTATATTATTTTATAAAATATTTATATGCAATAAAYTGGTATAATACATACAACACGCAATTAAAATAAATAATAATTTTTTTATTCAATGTTAATTTAATAACTTATTATATAGATCATACGAGTATTAAAAAATGCTGAACAAATGCATCAATCTTACACGGGTATAATATATTAAACACAATAAATATTTCTATGTACCAAAAAAAAAAWAAATAAATATAAATAATGAACTTGTTAATTTGTATAGTTTAATAATTATTTTATAAACGAAAATTACCATAATATAACGGGAAAAATCGTTTTATCATCATTGTTTTCAAAACTGTAACGCGTATTTATAATAACAGAAGAATTGATGCCCAAAATGAAATAGTAATATTGTTTGTGGAAGATACAATAATTCAGTTATACCTATGTAAATACGTAATAATACTGGTATTGTGGAATGATTTACATGGCAGGAATTTAAAAATGTCACGTTGGAATGTATGAGTATACTTGGCTATAGTTGTTGTAAATAAAATCTGAGGATATTGGGAAATTCTGCATCAGTTTTGTGTATTAATTTGGGCATGGAACGTTTTGGGAGATAAGACGAGCCTTTACATATGTCTTGTGTTTCCAAAATTGAGACCACTTTGATTTGCTCCCTTGTTGGATCCATATTGCAAACTGATAATAGTTTGGCCGGCTTTGAGTTTGTCTTCGCTGAAGTTGCGAATGTTTTTCTCTGCTTCTTTCGGTCCAATACTTGGAGCACCGAATTGACCAGCCTGTATAAAGTGTACGCATTAATGTATTATATAAACAGTACATTTTTATATCAATTATCAGTAGTTATAAATACAAATGTAATAATAATCAAAAATAATTCTTAACTATRATACCTTTCTACCCAATGACTGCAAGCAAATCACCACAGAGTTCAAATTCTGACGTTCCCATAAATCTACAGATTGGAAGGTTTCTTGAGAAGGAACGCCGATTGATACAGCCACAGCCAAAAAGTTATTGATGTTTTCCATACACTTAAAAGCCATCGTGCTGGTGTTGACTTTCTTAACGGATCCAGGAATAAGAGTGTTTACCAATCTACAGTAAATAAAAATATTATTTATACTAAAAATGTAACAAAAAAAAAATTTATTTTACTAATGGCATAGTTGTCGATGTACTTTGATCAATATAAAAAAATATTATTTATATGAHTTCATCGGAAACTATGTAAATAYAGGGAAGAAATTATAAATAAATGCATATTTTGAATACAATTATAAACAATTATATTACATTACAAGCAAAGAAATCAGAAATATGTAATTAATATATATATTATTATATTAATATAAACTAATGATTAATCGAAGTAAATTGATATGAAAGTGATAACTTTATGAACAATTCAAGGATATATTTAATCGGTACGTAGGTAATGTTTTATTTATTACATAGAATATGACTCACTGGCACAATACTTGTCCGTCCTTAAGGACTTCAAAAAAGTTGTCTGGATCGCCAGATGTGTTCAATGGCAAACCAGTGACGCTGCTCACCCACTCTAAACATTCCTGGGCTAGCTCTTCACTGTATTTGCTGTTGATCTATAAAAAAATAAATATTTTAAATGTTAGGTTATTTCTCGAAGCAAAGAACATAATTACAAGCATATCTTAAATGTTTACATTTTTTCCATTGTTCTCATGACTTAAGTATTATCGTGGTTATATTAAGCAATTCATTTTTTTTTTTTATTTGCTGTTAGTTAATACATAGGTAAATACTGATGTAGATAGTACCAAATAAGAATAAAAATAAATGATGTTGAAATCTTTCAATGAATTAAACTTTTATATTAAATTTTATCTAATTAAAATAATCAATAATTATATATATATTTTTTTTTTTATTTTTAACAAAAAATATACAATCTGTACCCTTGGGCACAATAAGAATATGTAATATAATATATAAATATATTTTTTTTAACATGAAAACGTGAGGGAAGAAGCCATCCWGTGATATCACTACCTATTTATTTATTAATATTTTTTTATTTTATATAATTTTAATTTATTCATTTAGTAATTAATTATGTATATAAATAATAAAATTCGATAATGTTATGACATTCATTAACGATTT